CCCGCCCCCCCCCCCCCTTGGAGGAAGGAAGCCCCGTCATGCGCCTCCGCCGAGCTTGCTTCCCCCCCTCCCGCGGAGCAGGGAAGCCCGCACATATACCCCCTCCGGGCCAACTCCCCCTCTCGCGGAACAGGAAAGCCCCCGTCGCACCCCCCTCCAGGCACGACTCCCCCCTCCTGCGGAGCAGGGAAGCTTGCGCATGTGCCCCCTCTGGGCCCGACTCCCCCTTCGTGCAGAGACAGGAAGTCCCAGCGCGCGCCTCTGGGGACTCACCCGGTAAGTTCCCGGCATGCCACTGACTTGGGGAAAGGAAGCAGCCTGCGCATTTCCGGAATCCCTTTTACGGAAAAGGGATGCAGTCTAGACACAGCCACTCTGTTCAGCTACATGTGAAATAGACTGTATCAGATAATGCATCCTGCATTGTTTTTCTCATTGCAGATATTGGTATTAATTTGACAGATCCTATGTTCAGAGGTATTTACAGGGGTACACGGAAACATCAAGGTAAATGTTTGTAACTTTTGACAGATTTAAGGTGTTTCTCTCATTATATTTCTTACCTGAACAGTAAATATGAAATATTCATTGTCTTTGCATAGAAGTTGCCTAAAGTATCTAAGTATTATTATCTATATTATGAGATTCCAGTATTGTCACTTGAAATCTTAGATTAAATCTCAGGAAAAAACTTCCTATGTGTAAAAACAGTAGGACAATGGAACAGACTGGCTTGGCTTACCTTAATCCAAGCTAGGCACCATCTCCACTGTGGAAGGCCAACATGAGCAAATATTCCCTTCTGCTTCCCTTACTTCACTGGAGGTTTTCAAAAGAAGGCTGAATAGCCACCTGACTGAGATGGCTTAGGCACAATAAATCCTGCATCTTGGCATTAAGAGGACCATACTAGGTCAGACCAATCTTACCCAGTGTATCTTGTCTTCTGACAGTGGCCAATGCGAGATGCTTCAAAGGGAATTAACAGGGTTATTGTCATGGGATTAGACTATTAGATGACCCTGCAGTCTCTTCTAACTTTATGATTCTAAGATTAGAATGCTACGGTAGTGTGAAGCAGTGGAAATAATTACAGGCATGGCTGAAAGCTCTTTTTGTTTAGTATCACCAGGTTCAGTCTTCACTGGAATTTGTGGTCTGTTACTGTCCAATTTTCAAGTTCTTGGACATTTTCCACTTAATAATTTACACTTATACAACAGCAATAAGCTTTCATCTAGTTCAAAGGTGGAGGCACCCTTAGGGTTCATCTAGTCTACATGGCTCCATTGACCGAGCCATGTTAAGTAGTTTACTTGACATAGTCAATGAAGTGGGGATTTAAATAATCCCCTCTCCATTAAAATAAAAATGGCCGCTGTGCTGTGCCGACAATCAGCTGATCCGGCATAGCGCGGCAGTCTAGATGTGACGTGGCGGCCATTTTTATTTTAATGAAGTGGGGATTATTTAAATCCCCACTTCATTGACTATGTCAAGTAAACTACTTAACATGGCTCGGTCAATGGAGCCATGTAGACTAGATTGATTAATTAATTAATCAATCAATCTAAATTTAACATCCCTAATAAATATTAGTTTATTTGGCTTCCTGAAGAAAGGTTTCGTCCGTATATTGCTATTTTATGAGGTGAAAGGATAAAATAGCTGAGGAGTATGGCTGTAAGAAATACAGAAAATTATAAAATAACATTTTAGTAAAAGATACAGAATAGATCTAGGAAATGTTTTTTATAAATGGTTCTTTGACTAAATGGATTTTTTTTGAGAGAACACTTCCATTTTAATAAAAAAAAACTATAAATGAAAAATGTTGGTCGCAAAAATCCCACTTTCTCTCACTGTTATTATTCTCTCTTCTCTGTTTTCCAGTAGAAAACAATAGGGGAAAGGGGCGTTTTTAAGTGTTTTTCCCCTTACTGAAACAAAATTATTTATTTTGTTGAAAAATAAAATTTAGTTTCTCTTGAAAATTTTCATGAAATATACTGCCCTGCTTTTCCAACCAATTCTAAGGCTAGGTCTATGCTAGACTTTGAAGGTTGGGTTAAGGTACGCAACTCCAGCTACATAGAATACATAGCTAGAGTCGGCTTACCTTAAGCCAAGATTGACACTATCCCTACTGCGGGTTTGCTCTCGTTGGCTTCCCTTACTCCTCATGACTGCAAGGAGTACGGTTGCCAGCCGGAGCTACCCTTATCATTTATACTGGACCCATTAAATCGAATGCCAGAACATCAATCTCCAGCGCAGCAAGTGAAAACATGCCCTAAAGCAGAAACATTTAGAGAAGGTAAAGGGAAATAAGATAATTTGCACATTTATCAAAGAACTTGTAATTCCTTTTCATCCTTCTCTGTTCCTTAAACAAACAGCATTTGGTCTTACTGCAATCTCTCATTTGGATTTGATTTCACTGTTGGAAAACAAGTACAGGTTGAACCTCCCAAATCTGGGACTCTCTGGTTCCGGAACATCTGTGGTTCAGCACCATGGATGTTGCTAGACCAAAGAGTCCTGGAGGTGGGAGCAGGAGCCAGCCAGGGGCCAGCAGGGCCAGAACACAGGGCTGGGAAGCAGTGGCTGGGCCAGCTGGAGGCTTGGGAACTCAGCAGAGCAAGGCAGGGGTGAGGAGCCCTGCCCCAGCCGAAAAACCCCAGCATTAGCAGGACTAGACAGTGAACAGGGAGCCCCTGGCCCAGAAACCTCTGGTGTCAGTCAGGTCAGGCAGCGAATGAGGAGCCCCTGCCCAATCTGGAGAACTCACTGCAGTGGCAGAGCCAGATGGCAGCCAGGTGGCCCCGGGCCAAATAACTTTGGGGAACACCCAGCGGGAGCAGGATGAGCCCCAGCAATGGAACTCCCTGCCATTATCTGTGCCAGGGAACCCAGGGAATCCCTGGTGGCAGTGGGGTTGGGGTGGCCAGGCAGCCAGAGCATCCCCCAGCAGCAGCAGGCTTGGCAGTTGTGTGCGGGGAACTCCTCGGCAACATCAGGGCGAGGCGGGGTCTAGGAGCCCCAGCCAGAGAACCCCCAGGGGCAACAAGGAAGTCTTGGCCGGGAAGCCCTAGGGAATCCTCAGTGGCAGCTGGGCGGATGGCTTCTGAATGGGGGTGTCGGCAGCTGGATAGCCCACAGAACCCTGGCCAAGGCAGAGCCAGCAGCAGGTTGGGAGCCCCAGCCTTCGGAGCCCGGGAGTAGGGCAGCCAGAAGGGGAGCATTGACCTTTCCTGGTCCGAGACTGCTCAGATCCCAAGGGTGCCACACCAGGGAGGTCCAACCTGCATTAACTGACCATGCAGGCAGATCCGCTCTTGAGGGAGTAACAGAAAATTAGTGGGGCTAATTGGCCTAGAGCTACCTACAGTCATGTTAAGTGACACAGTTTCTACCCATAGGCTGTGTCTAGACTACATGGCTCCATCGATGGAGCCATGTAGATTAGACAGATAGGAAAAGGCAAAGGCAAATGAGATGGGATGTGGTTTACCGGGGCTGCCAACAAAGGGCTTTGATGTCGTCAGGGGAGCGTCCAGACTAGCGCGCTGAGCCGACAAACAGCTGATCAGCTGTTTGTCGGCTCAGCACGGCAGCCATGTAAATTTAAATGAAGCCGCGATCATTTAAATCGCGGCTTCATTTGCCTTTGCCAAAAAAACAAATCTACATGGCTCCGTCGACGGAGGTCCATGCAGGCATAGTGAGCTGTCAGATTGTTGGTGTGCTGGAGCGTATAGTAACCCCTTAGACTAGTACTGTCAGCAAATACATTTTTTCAGACTTAGAGCTCAAGACAAGAGAGGCATTTATTTAACTAGAGCCTGATCCAAAGCCCATTGAAGTCTATGGAAAATATCTCAGCTTAAATTAGTTTAAGATCACGTTTTTAGTCATTTGCATCATCTTCCTATTGACTTTACAATTAGTTCATCTTTAGGATGTGTCCAAATATTGTTCATATCATATTAAGCGTAATATTGACTATACATAAATGGTTTTATCGTAAAGCAATATTCAAGTTACATTATGTTTTAAGAACGGGACCTTAATTTACCAGATTTTTACTTCTACAGATGACTTTTCGGATGTGATAGAGAGAGCCGTGAAAACAGGTGTTAAAAAGGTAACTTCTCTTACAGCTCATGTATATGTATTTTTGTTATGTGAATTTTAAAATATAGATTTTAGCTGCTGGGATTTTTATGAAGCTGTAACGAAAACAATTTTCTGTTGAAATTAGCAACAATAAAAATGTTAGAAACTTTCTTTAGTATTACAGATTTATCTGAAAAATCAAAATTCTTTGCACCTGGAATAACATCTCCTTGAGAACAGAGATTAGCTGGTCACAAATATAAGTGTAAGGGCACTTTTTTTTGCCAAAAATATGTATGTGAAACTAGCCATGGCAAGTTCTAATACAAGGCTACACAAGCAGGGAGAGGGGAAGTTTTCAGGATGGATTTTGTTGCAGGAGGCATATAGATTAGTTAGTTTTAAAAACAAAGAATCACCACCTCATTCACAGGAACAGGTGTTTTATAGATTTAACTGGGGGCTGCGCCCCCTGCTCGTTACACTCGCCAACCCCCCTGTTGCCAGCTAGGGCCCCTTCCCCACTCTCCGGCCAGGGCCCCTCCCCCGGCTCTTTTTCCCTCTCCCCTCCCTCCAGCCAGGGCCCCTTTTCTCTGCCCCCTCTTCCTCCAGCCCAGTCCTTTCTCTTCCTCTGCACCCCCCACCACATGGGTTCCAGCGCCCCAGAGTAGCTGTTTTTAAAACACCGGCATCTGCCCGCCACGTAGTGACTGCTGAAGCTTCAGCCAGCCACTGTGCAGCGGCTTCACCCCAGTCCTGGCTTTCTGCAGTGTGGATCCTGCCGTAGCCCCACCCCTACCTCTGGATCCCACCACCAGCACCCCATCAACTGCTTTTAAAATGGCAGCCACCCTCCACGTGGTGGCTGCCAGACCTTCAGCCAGCTGCTGGGTCCCAGCTCAGAGCGGCTGGGAGTGCAGATCTGGGCATTAGGGGTGGGGAGCACATACTTATCTTTAGGCCTCCCGCTGCTCCCATTATGCAAAATCTAGCTAGTGGGGCTATGTCTACCCTGGTGGGTTCTTGCGCAAGAACGGCTGGTCTTGACTATAACAGAGTTTAAAGAGAAGCTAGATAATTTCATGGAGGTTAGGTCCATAAAAGGCTATTAGCCAGGGGATAGAAATGGTGACCCTGGCCTCTGTTTGTCAGAGGCTGGAGAAGGATGGCAGGAGACAAATCGCTTGATCATTGTCTTCGGTCCACCCTCTTTGGGGCACCTAGTGCTGGCCACTGTCGGCAGACAGGATACTGGGCTAGATGGACCTTTGGTCTGACCCAGTACGGCCGTTCTTATGTTCTTAACCCACGGAGCATCCACACTGCCTGCCTGCTCTTGCTCAGGAAGAGTTACAGTAGAGCGTTGGAAGACAGGGCTTCTTGCGCAAGAGCTACTCTGTTTTCTAACAGGTATAAGCCGTCTTGCGCAGGAGCTCTTGTGCAAGAAGGCAATGTGGACATGCAGCAGGGGTTTCTTGCGGAAGAAAGCCCTATGGCTAAAATGGCCATCGGAGCTTTCTTGCATAAGAGAGTGCCCACACTGCCATGGATGCTCTTGCGCAAAAGCACATATCTTGCGCAAAAGCACATCTCTTGTGCAAAAGCACATGGCAGTATGGATGTGTTATTGCACAAAATTTCTTGCACAAAAACCCGCCAGTGTAGACATAGCCTGAGAGTGCAGGGAAAGGCTCCAGACAGTGCGCTTGCACTTTGCTGTTACCCCAACCTAGGAGGGGGAGCACTCCTTCCCCGCTCAGCAAGACTCAGGGCTTTCTTTCCCTCCCCCTCACCTCTTCCCCCCACAGTGGTTT